CGGATCTGCCCCACCCTCGGCTTCCTATAGTTACTCGTTGAGATCGGCGCCTCCGCCATACTTGGTGGATATTTGATTAATCCTGATTTGGCATTAAATGACGTTAGCTGAAATGACATGCATTTAATGCGACCTGACAGTTACTTTTTTGTCGGTTACGAAAAGGCGTGCTGTTATTGACACGTTCACACATCGCGTGCACGTGGCGCATCCCCAGCCGTCCGTTTCAAAAAGATGTCCCCCTGCCTCCGGCGGTTATACCCTTTCAAATTTCTAATTTTAACCGCCTTCACACGTGTCACCGCCTCATTGGATACCTGGTTCTATAAATTGGGGACCTTAGGTATTTTTTGGGCTTTCTTCCTCACTTTCACAGTTTTTTACTCCCAATTTTTACAGTAAGAGATCTTCGAGCAGCGAGTTCCCCCTTACGGTAATTTTTCTTTCTTTCTTTCCTTCTTTGTTTCTCGTCCATGTCTTCTTCTCCCAAGTTCGAGTCGGATGTCGGTGCGTAAATCTTGATTTTCATAGGTCCGATTCAGACGTCGACCAGGATTTAGTTGATGAGACCCTTCGAGGCGACACAGAAGGCCGTGAGAGGATGCCAATGGATCGTGGCGACGAGGCTATAGATGCCGAGATTGAGGCGGTGACTTCGGTCCCCCCGGGTTTTTGGTGCCGCCCTCCCCGGGTCTGGGAAACTCCCAGCGAGTCAATAGCCTGGTTCATGCCCTTGGTGATTGACGATGCCGACTTGGCCCAACTACGGACCAAATTCAACTTTGGCCCAAGCGTTCGCTTGTTTGCCCCGTATCCGGGGGAGCGCATTCACTGTCCGCCGCCGGGCTGTATTGGAGTCTACCGTGAGATCATTCGTCTCGGGCTTCGTTTTCCCCTGACCGGTGCCCTGAGAGACATCCTCTGTGATTTTGAGGTCGGCATCAGTCAGTTGTGACCGACGGTGTTTGCTCGGCTCCTCGCCTTAATTGTCATGTTTCGTCGCCAGGGGTGGCCCGATCCAACCGGTGCCGAACTGAGGACCTTGTTCAGCCTCTAAAGATCCGGCGACACCGGCAACTATTACTTTTCGGTTCACCCTGGGATCGACCAGACTCTGGTCGAAAAGCTTCCGGAGACTCTCCACGATTATATGCCGGGGTGGTTTTGGGTCGGAGGTGATTGGAGAGCTGGGGACGAGGCTCGGCACCCTCCTACTCATTTCATTTCGCATAGAAGTAAGAATATTTACATCGCTTTCTTCATTTACTGATGTTATTTCCTTGATGCTAACAGGTCGGTCTTTGCGTTTTAAGTCCACAACCCGGTTCCTGCCATCAGCGAGAGTTTGGCAACCCAGATCACCACAATTCTTCGGCGTCCGCCTGCAGATCGGCACTACCATCCTCTCATTAAAGAGGACATTCTGCTTGATCATAACATTAGCCCGATTTTTCCGAACAAATCGTTTACCCCGGGTACGTATCTTCCTTATTCTGTTTGGCATTTTATGAATCCGGTACTTCTCGCGTAAATTCTAACGTTGATTCCTCTTATGGGACATCTGCAGTTTATTACCCGTTGCTCCATCAGAGCGGG